CTATGTGAGTTTGAGGACAGCCTGTTGGAGAATAGGGGGAAGACATGGATGAAGACACTAGCTTGGGAGTCTGTAGACTCATCTTTTTTATTGATACTACTTGGCTGTACAATCTATGAAAATCCATTTTGGTTAAAATGAGGCCATAGGAACAACTGATTTCCATGGTCAGTCAATCACAAGCCTTATATTTTTATGATTCTGTGGTTGCTCATATATTAGAAAATATGCCATGCTTGCTTCATGTGTGTGCCCTTCCTACACTGCTTTTCCTTCAATTCAAATAAGACCTCCACAGGAAGCCTTCTTTCCACACTCCAACCCTCAGTTTGTTCCCCTCCTGTAACAGCTATTGCATTATTTTCCCACTGCTCACTGGAAAAATTTTAAGTCATTGACATTTGTTAAGTGTTTTAAGCGATTGTCAGTTGTGTGTCTGTGTCCCTCTCAGCTTCTGACCTTAGTTTTTCCTAGTAATCCAACCAAAATAGTTTTTGTTAAACTACCCCAATGTTAAGAATGGATAATTGAAAAGACAGTGCTTCAGCTGGGTGTGATGGTACTTTGTGAACAAATGCCTGTGTTACTGACATAGGTGTCTACTAATACATGCTGTACTTGTTTTCTGTAGTGTTGGGTGTTGGAAAGCACATGCCAGACAAGCTGTCTACCTGTGAGCAAGAACCTTAGTTCTTGACAACTTTTTTTTAAAGACAGTGTCCCTTTATATAATATAGCTCATGTTGTTCTTAAACTCCTACGTTTGTCCTCTCAGTGCTGAGATTACAGGTCTGTGTTTGTGTGTATGTTGCACTTGCGTGCACGCGCGGTCGTTCATGCCCTGTCATGTCTGGCTTAGAGTACTTGTACTAAAAAGTTTGCTCTAATGCAGTGTAGTGTGTTGGCACTAGTAGCAACATTATATATATTGTGTTTTTACCATTTCTTGAATTGTGTCAAGAGGGCATGCTGAGAGATTCACTAATTTATTGCTGTAGTTTACATTGTATTTATGTAATGATACAGTCTAATGATAAATTTCTCAGAATGTGTCCCTGTTACTCAGGATTGTATATGCACTTAAGAGGAAAAAATGATTTATTTGTGTATCCTTAGACTAAGCCAAGAATATTTTTTAATTTAAAAAATTAAATTATTTTTTGTGTGTGTTTTGCCTGCATATGCACCGCCACATGCACATTTGGTTCCTGCAGAGATTGGAAGAGGGTGTCAGACTGAGCCTTTGGGGCTTGACTTTGAAGAGAGATTGTGAGCAGCCACGTGGGTACTGGAAATCAAATTCAGGTCTTCTGGAAGAGTAGCCAGAACTCTTTAAATACCAAGCAATCTCTCCAGCCCCTTAATTTAACTTTTATTTATTTTTTTAAGATTTATTTATTTATTATGTATACAATATTCCTTCCATGTATGCCTACATACCAGAAGAGGGCACAAGATCTCATTATAGATGGTTGTGAGCCACCATGTGGTTGCTAGGAATTGAATTCAGGACCTCTGGAAGAGCAGTCAGTGCTCTTAACCTCTGAGCCATCTCTCCAGCCCCTTAATTTAACTTTTAAAAGAAACGAATTGTTTTGTTTTCTAAAGTGATTTTGCCATTTTTACATCTTACCTGTATGTAAATATTTCTAAGTGTTTTTCTTCCTAAATATTTAAAATGCATTTTTATTAGTTTTAAGTAGAAGTTTTTGGGAAATATAAATTACTTAGAGTTGATCTGTAGAAACACAACTTGCAATTATCATATTTCATTTTGTTATGTATGGCCTTCCTAGACTCATTGGTTCCTTAGTTCTTGTGAGTGACTTTCTTGGGATTACATATAGATTTTAGGTATAGATGAGGGCGTAATCTTTAGTTTTCCATCTTCTTCCAATCTGAATGCCTTGATTCTCTCAGCTCTGCCAAATGCTTTCTCCTTCCCCTCAAATAACTTTCAGTGGAAAAAAATGTGTCTGCTGTAGGTTAATGAAGTTTAATCCCAGCACTTGGGAGGCAGAGGCAGGCAGATTTCTGTGAGTTCAATGTCAGCCTGCTCTGCAGAGTGAGTTCCAGGACAGCGAGGCCACAAAGAGATAACCCTGTCTTGGAAAACAGAACCTAACAAAAGGTTATTTTTAATTTTCTGGAAATACATATTAGACATGGAAAGGTTTTGGGTTGCGTGTCAGATTCTTTTTCTGTCTGTTAGTGATTGTGATCTCGTCTTTGTGATGACCTTAGTACCATGGGTCTTAATACTTTTTGTTATCTGATTTTTGGTGTTACTTAAAAATTAAAAATGAAGGGGTCAAGGGAGATGGCTGAGTGGGTCAAGTGCCTTCTGTGTAAGCATGAGAGCCCAAGTGTGGATTCTCAGTGCCCATGTAGGAAGCCAGGCAAGGAAGACCTGTCTAACCCAGCACTGGTAGGGTGGAGGGAGAGGGACAGAAGCGCCTCATGTGGACCTCACACAGGTAGACACAACACTGAAAACCACCAACAGTTTGCCTTAGCGTTTCTTAGGATTTTCAGTCTTTATTTTATAATGTTACTTGCGCTTTGTTTATTGAGGTTTTTAATTTTTGTGTCAGTTTATCATTATCTGGGGATTGCCCAAGGTGATTGACTGGTTGGCAAAACATTGTTGAAGGTATTTTCAGCTTTTTAAATTTCTGTAGGACACTGGTGAGATCATTTTATTTCTGGTTTTGTTATTTTTTTTCCTCGATAAAGTTAAATTTATTTTTGAAACAAGGTCTTGTTCTGTAATAGAAACTAATCTTGAGCTATATAGATTGAGCTCTTTGCCCCATTCGTTTCTGGTCTTTATTTGTTTTGTCCTGCTTAAACTTTTGTTGTCCTAGTACAGTGAAAGGAGAAAGGGCTTGGGGCTGACTCAGTTTTCTGGTGCAGACTTAGATTGAGAGACTGTGTTGCCCAGGCTTTAATTTGTCCTTCTGCTTTGGTGTCCTAGGTAGCTAAGATACAAGTGTGTGCTGCCATGCCTGCCTCAGTTCAGACAGACCCTTGTAAAGAGAACAGCTTCCCTCCAGTCAGTCTGGACTGTCTCTCCTAAATGTTGTTATGTTCCTATTTTCACTTAGTAAATGCTTTCTAATTTTTTTATGGTGTTTTAGCTTACAGTTTACTTTAGGTATATGAAAAACATTTGGACATTTCATTTTCTTCTTGATTTTCAATTTTGTGTGATTTAGAAGATGAATTGTTTTGGGTCAGCCGTGAACCATTTGAATTGGGAGCTAAAAAACAATTGCTTCTGTAGGGGCGTAATGAACGATAAGCACTGAGTCTACCTTTGTTCCCTTATTTGTTTTTGTTTTTATATTTATCTATCTATCTATCTATCTATCTATCTAGCTAGCTAGCTAGCTAGCTAGCTTAGGTTTTTGAGACAGGGTTTCTCTGTGTAGTCCTGGCTGTCCTGGAACTCACTCTGTAGATCAGGCTAGGCTGGCCTCAAACTCACAGATCCTCCTGCTCTGCCTTCTGAGTGCTGGGATTAAAGGTGTGCACCACTACTGACTCACCCCTTGTTCTTATTTATAGGTCATTTATAATTTGATAGCTGTCTCAAGTTGGGAGAGTACTTGTGTGTGTGGTGTATGCACACGTGTGCAGGTTGCGCGTGCAGAACAGAGGCTGAAGGAGAGGACAGCAGGTGTCCTGCTCTATCACCATGCCTTTTATAGCATTGAAGTGAGACCTCACTGAACCTGGGGCTAGGGCCAGTCAGCTCCAATGGTCCTCCCCATTATCCTATCCTCGCGGTGTACTGGTGTGTGCCACGACAACCAGTTTTTGTGTGTGGTTTCTGGGGATTTGAGTGCATGTCCACATGCTTGCATCACACGTGCTGTTAGCTAGGTTTTATTTATTTTAGAGACAAGGTTTCTCTGTGTAGCTCTGGCTGTCCTGGAACTCACTCTGTAGACTAGGCTGAGCTCTAACTCACCGAGATCCGCCTGCCTCTGCCTTCAGTCCTGAATGCTGGGATTAAAAGCCACCACTGCCTGGCAGTTAGCCAGTGTTCTTACCAGTTGAGTCAACTACCCAGCCCCACTTCTCTTTCATATGTTGCTGCACTTAGGATGCCTGTGGTTTACTACATAAAGTTATTTTTGAATTCTGTCATTAGAGTGCAGCATTACTTCCGTTTTTCTTTATTGTAATCCATTTAAATGTAGCAGCCCACAGGAGTGTGTAGAGGTAAGTTGTTAACTTGGAAAAGAGTTTGTATTGAGCCAGGCATGGTGGCAACCCCTCCATTCTCTCCCCCACCCCCGTCTTTTGAGTCATGGTAACTCACTGTTCCAGACTGGCCTAGGAGTCACAGAGATCTACCTGTCTCTGCCTCCCGAGTGCTGGGATTTAAGGAGTGTGCCACTGTGTCTGACTTATATTTTCCCTCATTTTGATTCCTTGTGGAAGAATTTGAATTGAATAAAACTCCGTTGTCTTTTAATAAATGAGGCCCTTGCCCATTGTAGCTACATTTGGTTTTAAAAGTTTATGGTTGGGAGGGGAGTGGAGAAAAATATAGCTCAATAAAAACAATTTAAAAAATTATGGTTCACATATATAATAACTGGTTGAAATTACATTTGTACTGATTATTCAATAAGTTGTCTTATGTTGTATTACTTTGAGGCCTCAGGGGTTTTAAGACTACACCTCATGATTTGGCCACTAAACTTTATCTCTTGATAACCTTTGAGAGAATACCGTAGGAAGGTTGGTGGTGACATTTTGTGGATAAGGCCAGAATCAAGGAAGACTGGTTTGAGATAACAGAGTAGAGAATGGATTACAGAAATGAAGAGAGCTGTTGATATTCTCCAGTTATCTCTGTATATACACCCCTCTCGGCCTAGGGAGTTTAACCAATTTCAGGTTGAAGAGATAATTGCTGAACTCCATTATATGAAACTGTAAATTAGTTTTACTAAAATCTGTGTTTTCCTCCTCCTCCCTCTTAGGACATTTGCTACAAGATCCCATTGCACCCACCAACTCCACCTGCCAACACTATGTCTGCAAAACTTGTAAAGGCAAGAAAATGATGATGAAACCTTCATGTAGCTGGTGCAAAGACTATGAGCAGTTTGAGGAAAACAAGCAGTTAAGCATCCTCGTGAACTGCTACAAGAAACTGTGTGAATATATAACCCAGACAACACTGGCGCGGGATATAATAGAAGCAGTTGACTGTTCTTCTGATATTTTAGCTTTGCTTAATGACGGATCATTGTTTTGTGAGGAGACAGAGAAACCTTCCGATTCATCCTTCACTCTGTGTTTGACACATTCCCCTTTACCTTCAACCTCAGAGCCCACAGCTGATCCTCAAGCTAGTTTATCTCCAATGTCTGAAAGCACCCTCAGCATTGCTATCGGCAGTTCTGTTATCAATGGTTTGCCCACTTACAATGGGCTTTCAATAGACAGATTTGGTATAAATATCCCTTCACCTGAACATCCAAATACAATTGACGTGTGTAATACTGTTGATATAAAAACTGAGGATCTGTCTGACAGCCTCCCCCCTGTCTGTGACACAGTAGCCACTGACTTATGCTCCACAGGTATTGATATCTGTAGTTTCAGTGAAGACATAAAACCTGGTGACTCGCTTTTGCTGAGTGTTGAGGAAGTACTCCGGAGTTTAGAAACTGTTTCAAATACAGAGGTTTGCTGTCCTAATTTGCAGCCAAACTTGGAAGCCACTGTATCTAATGGACCTTTTTTGCAGCTTTCTTCCCAGTCTCTTAGCCATAATGTTTTCATGTCTACCAGCCCTGCACTTCATGGGTTATCATGTACAGCAGCAACTCCGAAGGTAGCAAAGTTGAATCGCAAAAGATCCAGATCTGAAAGCGACAGTGAGAAAGTTCAGCCACTTCCAATTTCTACCATTATCCGAGGCCCAACACTGGGAGCCTCTGCTCCGGTGACAGTGAAGCGGGAAAGCAAGATCTCTCTTCAGCCTATAGCAACTGTTCCCAATGGAGGCACGACACCCAAGATCAGCAAAACTGTACTTTTATCTACTAAAAGCATGAAAAAGAGTCATGAACATGGATCCAAGAAATCCCACTCTAAATCTAAGCCAGGTATTCTTAAAAAAGACAAAACAGTAAAGGAAAAGATTGCTAGTCATCATTTTATGCCAGGAAGTCCTACCAAGACTGTGTACAAAAAGCCCCAGGAAAAGAAAGGATGTAAATGTGGGCGTGCTACTCAAAATCCAAGTGTTCTTACATGCCGCGGCCAACGCTGCCCTTGCTACTCTAACCGGAAAGCCTGCTTAGATTGTATATGTCGTGGCTGCCAAAACTCCTATATGGCCAATGGGGAGAAGAAGCTGGAGGCATTTGCGGTGCCAGAAAAGGCCTTGGAGCAGACCAGGCTCACTTTGGGCATTAACGTGACTAGCATTGCTGTGCGTAATGCAAGTACCAGCACCAGTGTAATTAATGTCACAGGGTCCCCAGTAACGACATTTTTAGCTGCCAGTACACATGATGATAAAAGTTTGGATGAAGCTATAGATATGAGATTCGACTGTTAAATCAGTGGGTCTTGAAACCTACCCCTGGTAGGAAATAGCTACAGTTTTACGGCAGCTATGATTCTGTTGGTTTAACTTGCCGGAGCTCCTGCATATAGATCACTTGTATCAAGTGTTTTCATTGCTAAGTTATATGTGTTAGTGTCGGGGAAATAGTTTGCAGATAATGGAGGAGTAACCCTACAACTATATGTTCTTAGTTCTTACAGAACCTCATAGTTTGAGAACAAATGCTGATGCAACTGATTTATACAAAATGAACTTTGGCAAGGAAAATAACAATAACCTCATTGTTTATGGTCATGCTTTGTGCATAATCAAAGTTGATGATTAAATGTAAGGAAGTGGTATCCAGTCGGCCCATAACGATTGTGCTAATTTTTTTTGTGGAAAAGTAGCCATTAGTTTATCAGGAGACCTTGTGCTGCCTTCAGATGCTGCAGTGATGTTTCTCCTGGTGAAAAGCTGATGATGTGTCCAGCTCAACCTTTGTGCTGACATAATACCATTTCTGATCATGAAAATTGGCTACTGGCGTGTATGTAGCAGTTCTTAAATCAGCAGTATTATGAAAGAAAATTTCCCCCTCATTAGAATGTTTTAAGAAATCTGTCTTTTAAAAAGTGAACAAATAAATTCTGTCAGACCACAAATGTTAAGCTGTTTATGCTTTAAATATTTATGAGTTCAGCCCCCTTTCTAGTTACGACTCACTTCTATGAGAAAATCCTAAGTCCTTTCACTTTGAGCAATGTTCTATTTGATAAAGTGAAGAGCTGTTTTATTCTGAACATAATTGAATTTATATAGTTCATGACATAATTTTTAAAAATATAAAAAGAATTTAAAAATTGGGTTTTATTTAAAATAATTTTGGAATAATGCCCTAAATGTTCCCAGATTTATGCATTATACTTATTGCCATTGATGACTTCTTTGATTTTTATTTCCTGTTTATTTGCCACAGGCTTTACCTTGAATATACTCCTTTGTTTTTTTCTTTTAAAGGGTGCTGTTCATAATGAAGGCTTCTTTATCAAGGCCTTAATAAAAGATGCCTTTGATGAAGCCTGTGCATTTAGGTAGGTGTAAAGCTCGGAGGATTTTCTTTAGAATGCTCTTTTGCATGTAAAGCACAACTGTGTTTGAGTTTTAATGTACTTCTTCCTATTAACTTCATGGGGAAGACAGACATTCTGTTGAAGGGAAGTCTAGTCAGTCGCTTGAAAGAGCACAGCCCAGGTAAGCAAGGACTGACTAGGGATAGAGAGAACCTTGTGATTTCAGAGTCGCTGCTTTGGCAGTGCTTATTTTAAGAAATACTGCTAGGGAAGTTCCAGTTCCTACTGCATTCACCGTCTGGTGAGATCTGAGTGTTGGAGTTGTTTTGATTTGGCACACAGCATGTTCAATGATGGTTCCTCGCCTCATAAAGACACGGAGAGAATCCTTTGGACACAGAGCAGATGACACCTCCTGTTTTGTAGTGTATTCTGGTGTCATTTTCTGTGATGTGGTCAGGTAGTCGTTTTGTTGTTGTCATTGGGCTTTTTTTAAAAAAAAAAACAAAAAAACAAAAAAAAAAACAAAAAAAATTTTTTGGTCTCTTGGTGGGGCGGGGGTGGGCTAAAGCCATAGGAAGAAAAATGTGATGTATGTGTCCAGTATGTACGATTTTGTTTTTGTTTTGCAAGAAGAGTTGAACTATTTTTGATAACAAGAGTAAATGGTGGAAAATGCTTCTTAGTTGTCTTGTCTTTATTTGCTTACCAAATTTTGGAATTTATTTAAATCCTTTAGGTGGTAGCAGTGTCTTATGAACCATGTATTTACCTAAAGTTTGTAACAGTTTGTGTTGGACCAGAACCCCTGCTATATAATCATGTAAATCTGTTTTTTATTCACTAATGATCACTGCAAAAATGACTAGAAATGAGACTGTACACATGGATAATTAGGCTTTATTTTGCAGATCTCCCAGACTTTCCTAAAATGATCTTAAAATTCATGGAGTACCTCATTACTCCCCAAATTTGATAATGTAGCTTTGTATTTTGATGCATGGGAGGTTGGCAATTGAGACAAAAGTGGAATCAGTGTGTGAGGACCTTGATTGTTATGTGATGTTGCCAATGATGAGTTCAGGTTGTTTTTAGCACAAGCTTCTCTTTTTATGCTGGTAATCTCACTGCCACAGTTTTGGAAACCTGTATCACACCTTGAGTCTATCAATAAATGATAGTTTTCTAATTCTATGTTGTAGAATACTGAGGAGTTTGGGATAGCATGTTTTGAATTGTCTGTATTAGCTTGGGGAAGCGTACTTACAGTGCCTTGGTTTTATGTTTTTCTTTATAACATGGTTTTTAAAAGTAATGCAGATAAATGCTGACTTAACTAAGGATTTATTGAAGGAACTGGCTATATATCAGGATATGATGTTACTAAACAAGACAAAACAAGACTTCATTTAAATTGGTATATCTTGTATACTCTATTCTTGTCATTACAATTTTTCTTTTTGGTTAGATTCATTGAGTATTTTCATCATGAAGCGCTAGGATGTAAAGGGTCTGTCCACAATAACCCTACTGAAAAGTAAAAATGTTAAATAAATGAGTAGAATTTCCTCATAGGTAACAATGCTTTTAGGATATAAAGCAAGACTGTAGGATCTGAACCTAATCTTGATTTTGTTTTAGATACCCAATAACTTGCTGTGATACAGCTTTTAATATATGGATGAGGCTTAAGTTCTGTTTGGTCCTGGAGAACCCTTTTATCTCAGAGGAGAATGCTTCTCAGTGAGATAGTATTCAAGACTTTTTTTAATAGTATTCCCAAAGCTTCAGAGAGTTAGTCTTGCAAAAATTCAACTTCGCTTACAGGCATAAAAATGTATCTAAAACCAAAAATGTGTAGTGAACACAGTTCATACATTTGACAGGTTTATTTTGTTTGGTGAAAAGGGGAAAACAAGTCATGCACCATCTCTAATCAAACACTTTCAAAGCTGAGCAAATAATAGCTGAATTAGAATTTTGGTATATTTTTCTTTAACATTTTGAACAATATAGTAACATAAGATACAGGGAACTATACAGAATTTTATTAGTTTTATTATCTTGGTAATTATGCTATGAAACCACCCTCCTTTTATTAATCTGTGGGTCACAACCCTTTGGGGGGGTCACATATCAGGGATCCTACATATCAGATATTTATATTATGATTCATAATAGAAAAATTACAGTTGTGAAGAAGCAACAAAAATAACTTTATGGTTGGGGGTCACCACAACATAAGGGACAGTCGCAGCAATAGGAAGGTTGAGAACCAGTGATTTAGATAATTCATCTCTTCCAAGGTCTCGGGTATTCTCACAACTTGATACTTCCAGTTTGGTAATAAGGTAATTCCTGAAAGTATAATTCCTGTAAGTAACCCTTATTAAATAATGCGTCTTGAATTGTGTGGTGTTGATGGGCTCTGGTGGAAGTAGAAAGAAGAGTTGTAGTAAGGGAGAGGAAGGTAGCAAAATAAGATAAAAAGGCTGAAGGCAGAGTGTCTCGTTAGCATGTGGATAGTTCTAGGTTTTGATTCCCAGCACCACAGATAAGTACAAGTTACATACGATTTCAGTGCAGCTAGTGAGAGCTAGCTCAGCCCTATGCTCACAGCTGTTAAGGGATATTATAAAATTGAATTTTATATTGTGCTTTTTGGTGAGTCTCAAATAGTTTAGAACATATAGCTAATAAAATCCTTTACATTGCCTTAAAAAAACACAAGCATTATCATTTTTATCTGAAATTAAAAATAGTTGTTTTCCTTTCCTGCTAAAGATTGGATGGGACTGGTGATAAAATCACATAACTTTTTAAGACAGGGTTTCACTGTAGCCTAGGATGGCCTCAAACTTTGAGCTGTCAATCCTCCTTGCCTCAGTCTCCTCTGAGTGTTAGCATTACAGTAAACAAAATTTATCAGTGTGTTTAGGCTATTGTATATAATGCATTCTCTCTCCTGCCTTAACTACCAAAATATGAAGTTTTAGGCATGTGCCACCACACTTTAAAAAAAATTTTTCCCCCCAAATTTAGTTACTGTTAGGCTTAATTATCTGGGTGAGCTATTAGTTGCAATAGTTATGTTTCTATAGTGGTCATTTGGGAGATTAGTTGTGGTCATGAAGGTAAAAATAACTGGAGATATGGAGGATCTTGTGACAGGCAGGATTGCTGGGCTTGCTAACTTCTAGTTTAGTTGATGTACATTTTTTAATTTTTTCCTCCACGTTTAGCCTACCATCATCCAAGGTTTGATTATTTCAGTGCTTGGCTTTTATACCAGCATAGAGAAAAGGGAGGTTATTCTGATCCTTTAAACGACTTTCAAAACAAAAAAAAAGGGGTAGGGAAAATTGATGACTTTGACAGACATGGATAATAAAAAGTTGCAGTGATTTTAGAGCTGTCCATCTTATTTTTAGTCCCCCCCCCCAGCATGTAGGATAACAATAAGCACTGTAGGATTTGGCTGCACCGTGGCATATTTGATTTACCACTTTAGTAAAAAAGGTGAGAATCATTGTTTTCTTCCAAGTTTGGTGACAATGAGGAGGATGGAATATTGGTGTAGTAGTTTCTTTTCCACACTTGTGGCTTACTTTAGTGGTCAAGGGAAAGAACTACGTACAGTGAGAAGTTTCCATGTATGTCACATTCCTAAGTCTTCAAGTAGGCCTGCTAGAAATGAAGATGGATCATCAACCAATCTGTAGATTAATAACCACCCAATAGTTGGTTACAGATGTTATCTTAAGCTTTAAGGAGTTTTCTTGAGATATTGTACAAGACCCTCAGATGCAGAGGCTGCTGAGCTTGCCAGCAGAGCTGGAAGGGCCTAGTGGTTAAAATACCTGAGACTGTAAAGTGACTAGCAGTTTGGCAGGTCATGGTGAAATTACATTAAACCAGGTAAGTTAAAGGTCCCTGAACTCCAGTACACATAAGTAGTCTCTGAGATGTTTGGCAGTGCTTTTGTTATTAGGACAAAGTCAATTTTAGAGGCCCTTTTCCAACTTCCAGAACTTTTGACTCAAGTTTTCTGCAAGTGAAGTTTTCTAGGTTCGGTAGGAGCCTGAAGGACCCCAGGGAAGCTGGCCATCACCGAGGCTGCTTCTTTTTGTGCAGAGAACTTGGACTTGTTTCCAAGAGAGCCTCCATACACTGAGGGGTGTAGAGTGCGGACTGCAGACTTTGGAAAGTGATGACAGTATGGACTTCCAAGGAAGAGCTCTGCACAAGGTTTGCGACAAACTGGAGGGGTCTCCTGTGCTGAATTACTTAGAGCATTTTAGTTCCTAGTGCACTTGGAGCAATCAAAGCCTTTACAAAGCAGTGTGCAAACTAGAACATCTCTACACACCATCCTCCTGTGTAGATGTTGGCAACTACTCTTCATCCACTGATTGAAGCTTTCCACATTTCTCTGAAAGGCTTGACGTTACCATTTTATTACCCTTGTTTCCAAATTCAGAGGGAGACATGGGTTCATCTGCTTCATAATCTTCAAAGGAACTGAAAGGACAAAGCAAATGTAGTTGATTTTTTTTTCTTGAACTATAAACATCTGGATACACGTCAATATAGCAATACAAAGATTTGGAAGATCAGGCTGATTAAAAATCACCTTTCACAGATTACCCACAGTGAGCTGTTCTGAGGATGTCCCAGTCTAGAGAAACCTCTACCTGCTCCCTAAAGCTCAAGTCCATGTTAGGATTTGTCAAAAGCAGAATTAGGAGTTTTAAGAGTGTTCTCACTGGTATTTCTACAGAGGGGAACTTTATCATTGACTGCTGTATTGCAGCCTCCCTCCTTGGGCCCTGTTGATACATTTAGATGTGCAAGTGTATCTGCTACAGACTTCAAGTCTGCTTGTGGATTTTCCTCTTATTCTCATTGTTCCCTTTAAGCTTTGAAATGCCATGACTCCCAGATTCAATATCTATCTCCTGTGAATGATGGTTGCCCCGAGGTACTTAAGTATCTTGATACTAATTTGAGCCTAGAAAAATGTGATTATCGACTGAATTATGCCCCCCCCCCTTATTTTGAGACGGTTTCTTTGTTTACCAGTCGTGGCTATCCTGGAACTCACTTTGTAGACCAGGCTGGCCTCAAACTCATCCATCTGCCTCCACCTCCCAAGTACTGGGATGAAAGCTGTGCACCACCACCACCACCACCCACCACCGCCCAATGACTGCATTACGTTTTATGTTAACAGTACTTAACTTCATTGGTATAGCCGTGTTATTTGGACCTTGCACATACTAAAGAATTGTTTTATCCGCGAGCCATATATCCAGCCCTCTAAATTGTTTTTTTTACATATATTTATGTGTATAAGTGTGACCTGCATGTATGTAATGTATGTGTGCCCATGGAGAAGAGGGTATTGGATCCCCTGGAACTGGATTACAAATGGTTGTGAGCTGTCATGTGGGTGCCAGGCACTAAACTTGGGTTCCCTGCAAGGGCAACAAGAACACATAACCACTGAACCACCTCTAGTACGTCCCTTCCCCCCATCCAAAACATTTTGAGTAGAGGATAGAGGTTTAAAAAAAAAAGCCTACCTAATGTTTGGGAAACTTCCCTGTGATTCTAGCTTGTGATGCTCAAGCTTGGTTACTACAATTTGTTCCTGTTCTACTATTCTCCATCCTTGGCATCCACGGCAGTGGAATGTACTAGGTAAGGAAGCAATATGAGAGTAGTACTGCTTTATGGGGCATGGAGTGGTATCAAAGTTAATTTTAGCAATGATAAGTGATAGAAAGACATTTTTCTTTCCTTGGTTCCTAACTTTCTGTGTGCAAGCTGCTAGTGTCTAAAATACTTCAGCATAGGTCTGAGAAAAGATGTGTTTTCAGAGTTAACGTCAGAAATGACACCAATTCAGTAAATTAGTTGAACTCACATTGCTGAGCTTGAACCAAATGCTAGGATACAATGTCATGGAATGAATGGAAGCAGCCTCCTTGAGCTATGGTGGCCTGATGGAGGTCACTTGGTGGGTAAAGGATTAAAACATGGGTTATGGAACCAAGATTCTAAATTTAGATTCTAATCTGCATCTGATTACTGTGTGACTTTGGACATGTTACCAAACCTCATCTTTTCTTGACTCATGAGCTTAGGGGTGCTCAGAATCTGATACATCAGAAACTACCAAATGTAGCTCTTGTTTTCATAGAGAAGTACTAGAGCTTAGAGTATGATTGTGACACAAAACCCTATTGGGGGCAAGAATATTTGTGAAAAAAGCCAGCCTCTTCCCCCAACACCATGTAAGCCAGGTATGGGGCACACTCAGTTCCAGGCCAGCCAGGTAAGGTTATGAAACAAACTAAACCAAAAGGGATGGTTCAATAACAATTCTTTTTGTTAGTGCTGTGGAAACCTCATTAGATAACACCTGGAGATACCTTTGACTCACCGCTGGGAGGATCCATCTAGTTAGTACAGTCCAAGGATAGAACTAAGAAGCCATCTCATAGAATCACCCAACTTAAAACATGCAGCTGAAGCCTGAACTACCTCTTTACCTCCTCAGCAGCACTGTGAAGCAGGCTGTGAACTAAACTGTTTGAGCTTCTGGGCACCCGTGGTCTTTCCCGTGTTTACCCACCACTTCACTTGTGCTGCTAAGCCTCCATAGATGTGGCTGCCCACTAGAGGGTGACCACATACTTAAGCCTGAACTTACTCCTGCTGATCTGTTTCTCCCTGTTAACAGTGAGCCACGTGCCACACGAAGCCAGAATCCCAATATCTCAATTATGTCCTTTTCCTTCCTCCCCTTTTTGAATTCAGCCAGTTGCTCAGCACACTATACCTATGGACATAGCTGTTTTCCTGCTAGTGACTGGTTCAAGGCCCCTGCTTTCTTGTTTGAATAATGTTTTCTAGTGACTGACTTCCCTAGTCTCCCTTTGCTGCTGCTGTGTCCAGACATCATGTTTGGGATGAGTTACAGCCTGGGGTGTAATGCCACTGTGTCTTTCAGTTTCCAATGAACCCTTCCTTTTTGCAGATTGTGTTCATTTTGTTTATCTGAGATGTCACTGAAAAGATTCTCCAGGCTTCAGAAGCAACGCATTGATTATAGGTGTTTACCACTCTTGCAGAGGACCTGACTTTGGTTCCCAGCACCATTTTGGTGGCTCCTGGCCACCTGTAACTCCACCTACAGAAGATCTGATACCTTTGGACTTTGGACTCCACAGGCACCTGTCTGTGATCAGACAGAGTCAGTGTCTGATCCAAAACTTAAAAAGAGCAGAGGCAGGTGGATTTGGAGGCCAGCCTGATCTATACAGTGATGTCCAGGCCAGCCAGGGCTATATAGTGAGACCCTGTCTTGATTAAAAAAAAAAAAAAAACAAAAAAAAAACAAAAACCAATTACTTAGCCAGGTGTGGTAGTGTTCATCTTTAATCCCAGTACTCAGGAGGCAGAGGCAGGTGGTCAAGCCAGGACAGCCAGGGCTGTTTCACAGAGTAACCCTGTCTTGGACAGAACCAAAACCAAACCATTTACTTTATGAGGTGTTATCATTAAGCCATTTTTTTTACTACTTATTATGTATACAATATTCTGTCTGTGTATATGCCTGCAGGCCAGAAGAGGGCACCAGACTTCATTACAGATGGTTGTGAGCTGGGTTGTTATGTGGTTGCTGGGAATTGAACTCAGGACCTTTGGAAGAGCAGGCAATGCTCTTAACCACTGAGCCATCTCTCCAGCCCCCTAGTTCTTTTTTTTATTATTGATTTTTATTGAGCTCTACATTTTTCTCTGCTCCCCTCCCTGCCTCTCCCCTCGTGAAGCCATTTTTGAATGAGCAGTGGAGTCAGGATAAAAGCTGACTGGAGTACTCAAGAGTCCAGTATTCACTAGAAACAAGTATAAAATAAAGAGCTTTTTAGGGCAGGATTCTACTTTTATCCTCTGTCTTCTAAGGACTGGAATGGCAGGCAGGCGCTACCACACCCAGTTTACACAATAATCCTGTGGCTAGAACTTGGGGAGCTTTGTGTGTGAAAACAAGCACTCTACCAACTGCCCTACCTCCCCTTCGTTGAGACAGGTTCCTGCCATGTAGCTCTGGCTAGCCTGAAAGTCATGTAGACCGGGCTGGCCTTGGACTCACAAGAGCTTCACCTGCATATTCCTCTAGAGTGATGGGATTAAAGAGGTGTGCCATCATGTTTAGCTTATTTTTTGATATATTTTCATTCTTTGAGAGTTTCATATATGCATACAGTGTATTTTGATCATACTTAGCCCCAATTCTCCCACAACTTTCATATCCATCCCACCTCCTAATTCCATGCCATTCATTCCATGTTGTTCACACACACTCTCTGTCTATGTTAGCCTATAAAGGCTGAGCCATCGCTCCAGCTTTTTTTTTTTTTTAAATCAATCTGTGTTACCCTTATACTCATGGGTGTGGAGCCACCTGGTAGAGCATGGTCAACCAGAAGGCATGCATGCCCTTAATGCCTCTAACTTAAAAGCCACCAATCAAGCTGGGTGGTAGTGGCACACGCCTTTAATCCCAGCACCCAGGAGGCAGAAGCAGGCAGATTTCTGCTAGTTTGAGGCCAGCCTGATCTACAAGAGCTAGTTCCGGAACAGGCCCCAAAGCTACAGAGAAACCCTGTCTCAAAAAACAAAACAAAACAAAAAAGCAAAAAAAACAAAAACAAAAACAAAAAAAACAACCCAATCATCAGTCAAGCAGAGCTCCTCTCTCCATACTGAATGTTAATGGGTTTGATCATGTATTTTAAATTAAAAACATACCTTGAGCCTTTATTGAAATTCAGTTAAATGAAACATTTTGAAAATTGGACATTTAGTTCATGGAGCTTTATCTAGTTTCTTTTGAAAATCTTTTGTTCCAACTTGAGCAAGTTTCCTGATGTAGGCCTGTGAGATGACTCAGCAGATAGAGGTGCTTGCTGCCAACCTGAGTTCCATTCCTATGACACAGAGTAGGAGGCAACTAACTCATAGGCTGGCCTCTGACCTCCACATGTGTATCATGACATGCACATGCCCACCTACATACACACAAATGCAATGAAAGTTCCTAATGTCTTCTAACCTACCTTTCTGCCTCAGAAAGTTGATCTGTCTTAATTATGAACTTTAAATAAAGCTGGGAGGTGGTGGCACACACTTTTAATCCCAGCACTTGGAAAGCATAGGCAGTTGGGCCAGCTTGGTCTACATAGCAAGTTCCAGGACAGCCAGGGATACACAGAGACAACCTGTCTTGAGAAACAAAACAACCCTCCTCCCTCAAACAATAACAAAAAGAACCCATAAAAAAACCCCAACAACAACCGAAAAAACAAAATAACAAAAAACTTACAACAGAAAACTTAATAAAGATTATTTTATGTGTGCTTTGCCTGCATGTTATGTGTGCCCAGTGCCCACAGAGGCCAGAAGATTCCTGGAACTGGAGTTATAGATGGTTGTGAGCTGTCCAAGTAGATGCTGGCAACCAAATCTGGGTTCTCTGCAGGAGCAGCAAGTGCTGAGCCACCCTTCCAGCCCTTTAAATCTAAAACAAAATACACTGTTTTGTTTTTAAAGATAAGGTCTTGGGCTGGAGAGATGGCTCAGTGGTTAAGAGCATTGCCTGCTCTTCCAAAGGTCCTGAGTTCAATTCCCAGCACCCACATGGTGGCTCACAACCATCTGTAATGAGGTCTGGTGCCCTCTTCTGGCCTTCAGGCATACACGCAGAAAGAATATTGTATACATAATAAATAAATAAATATTAAAAAAAAAGATAAGGTCTCCTTATATAGTCCAGGCTGACTGCTTCAAATGCCCAAGTTTTAGGATTACAAGTGTGTGCAACTATGTCTGGATAGAGCAGTTCTTATAAACTACCTAAATGGACAAGTTACTGTGTTAAGGAATACTTGGAAGCAGTAAAGCCCTGTTTCTAAATGCTGGTAACACTGCTACTTAAGTAGACTGAAACATAAATAGTTCTTTCTGGATTGCTTGACCAGAAGTGTTTTTGGTTTTCCTCTTTTTTTTTTTTTTTTTTTTTTTGGAGACAGGGTTTCTTTATGTAGCTTTGGAGCCTGTCCTGGAACTCACTCTGTAGACCAGGCTGGCCTTCCGAGTGCTTGTTTAAAGGCGTGTGCCACCACCCCCTGGCCCAAAGGTGTTTTTAAAATTATTTATTGTGTGTGCATGATGGGTATGTGTGTGTGAAGTCACGTGTGGAGGCCAGAGGACAGCTTAGTGAAGTTGGTTCTCTTCACCTTTATGTATGTTTGGGGATCAAACTCAGGTCTATAGATCTTAACAAGCACCTTTACCTGCTGATTCATCTTGCTGCCCTTCCCCAATATTTAATTTGGATGTGTAGCTCTCTGGGTGTATGTGCGTGTTTATGAGCGCCTATGCCTGTGTATGTGAAAACCAGAAAAGGCTGCTAGTGTCCTCTTCCATTACTTTCTACTTCTTTCTGTGAGACAGTCTCTCAGAAACTGGGGCTCAGTTTTCTCACCTTGGCTAAAAGCCAGCAACCCAGTTCGGAGCTGGGGTTACAGGTATTTTTGGGAACATTTGTCTTATTGTGTGGGTGCTGGGATCCTAATTTATTTTGTTGTAGAGAATGCAAGAATGCTAACTATAAATAGTTGCGTAGCCTGCTTTCCTCATCTACATTTGTGCAGGCGGACCGTGGTCTTTGTGGTCACTATTGGTTGGATGTCCATGCTCTTCAGTTCTGAGCATCTGTCCTCAGGCCATGCTTATCTGCAGTGTATGCAGCCTTAGGCCCGGGATCCCTACTGGCTGCTGACTGAAGCTGGAGGTAGACTAAGATACAAAGGCAACCTATGACTGAAATGGGGAAGAATTTGGAGTGCCTTTTGGAAGGCTGTGTTCTGGGCTGGGGTTACATGCAAGATTGAAACAAGGTTCTCTGCTTTTGAGAAGCCCACAATCTAGTGCTAAGATGAGCAAGTAGGTCCGTCTGTTTTCATCACGTGCCAGGTTCTGCTGGAAACATCACAGACGCCATCGCACACATTTAATGTCAGTGCTGCCGCCTGTGCTCTGGGACTGCTGATGACGGCTGACAAACTCTCTTCTGGTAGAGGTTGAGTAAGTGTGGCCACGGTCACAGAAGCTGTAGAACAGCCACCGCTTTTATTACAAACAACAGGCCAAAAGACTTTAGTTATATACATATTGTTCTTTAAATCTTAAAATAGCTTGGTGTGGCAGAGGTTTTGTTGTGGAGGGGATACTGAGGCTTGGAGACCCAGGATCACACTAGTAAGTGGTGGAACAAAGATTTGAATTTAGTCTTGCCTAACTCCAAATTTTCTTGTGTGTAATGTTACAGACTCCAATTCTACCCAGAATAGTCATAGCTACCATTCCCTGTAGCCGGATGCCAACTGTTTGCCCGTACCATCTCTGAGCTTCACAGTGACTCGGGAAGGTAGTTACCAGGATCTTCTGAAACTGAGCTGGAGGAGTCAGGTAACCCACCCAGCTGGTGACTTGGCCAGCTCTCAGTGGTTCCTAAGCCTCAAACATTCTTCCTTTTTCTGATAAGAATCTGACAATTTCTGTGTGACGTTTATTCATTCTGACATCTGTACTTCATGAGATGAAGCCCTGGGCTGTAGCTGGTAAGGTGTAGAACAGGCCTTCCCCATCCTCACTGACATTCTGGCACCCCTGTACAGGCTGTGGCTGCTGTCTTCTTCTCCCCAGAGACTTCAGCACCCACATGTGTTCTCTATAAGCCTTATCTCCCACCACATGAGAAGAGGGGTTCGTGATGAGAGCGTCTCATATGTACTGGTTGAATTTCACAGCAGCTGGTGACTGCATCTCCTCCCTTGACCCTTAGCCTGCATCCCCCGCCTCCTCTCTGTTCCATGCACACTGGCACTTTTCTTAGTGCTACCACAACTTGAAATTCTTTTTTGCTTGATCCAATTATACTTTATCTTTAACTGATAATAAGTTTCTCTTGTGCTTATTCAAACATACTGTGTATTCAGACCTGCTACCTATTTTTTCCTTTCCTTTAAAGGAGATTACAAAAAATAGAATTGGAGGAGTATTAAAAAGGGGCTAGAGAGATGGCTCAGAGGTTAAGAATACTTACTGCTTTATTTAGGGCTAGAGTTTGGATCCCAGCACCCGCACTGGGTGGCTCACATATGCCTGTTAACTTCAACTCTAAGGAATCTAACACCACTACTTTCTGGTTTCTCTGGGTACTCAAACAAACACAAACACACGGACGCACACATATAAATAAATCTTTTAAAAAATATGTAAGCAGTACTTGGTGGAGCACACCTTTTATACCAGCACTGGAAGAGCAGAAGCAGGTAGATCTCTGAGTTCAAGGTCAGCCTGGCCTACACAGCCAGTTTCAGGCAAGCCACACTGCCTGACGTGTGCTCTGAACTGAATTCGTTTTCTGCAGGAGCAGTATGCACTCTCAATCACCGAGCTCTACAGTGATTTTGTTTTTGAGAGAGATCATCTGAGTTACAACTATTGTAGTTTCCTCCTTTTATTTTCTGGGCGTTAACAGACTATTTTATGTGTATAACCAAATAAAAACTGTCTCTCATAAGCTCATATGTTGAACTCTTGGACCTCATGCTTCCCTGCCATGATGGACCTTTGGAACCGTAATAAAAAATAAACTCCTTTCTCCTCTATAAGTTGGTTTTGGTCATGGTGTTCTATCACAGCAACAGAAAGTAACTGAAATATTTCATTGCCTTTGTGTGGGGTGGGAAGGTTTCTGGGGACTAAGTTTAGGGCTGTTAAGTGCTTGCTCTAGCACTGAGCTGCACCTTCAGCCTACAGTAGCTCAGAGCATCTCACTGGCTCCTATGTGAAGGTCCCCTGACTTTCATGATGAGCACCACCTGCATTTCTTTTAGAAATGCTCTCTGAGGGGCAGCACTTTTCATCTGTGAAATTCCAGAAATGCGCTGTCAGAACCTCACATTCTTAATAGTGGAATTCTGTGTGAAGTTTTTTTTTTTTTTTTTTTTTTAAAGATTTAGTTACTCATTATGTATACAGTGTTCTGCAGGCCAGAAGAGGACACCAGATCTTACTACAGATGGTTGTGAGCCACCGTATGGTTGCTGGGAATTGAACTCACAGTAGGCAGTGCTCGTAACCGCTGAGCCATCTCTCCAGCCCTGAAGTTTTCTTTTAAAGAAAGATTTATATGTCTTGCTTACATATAAGTGCACTACTGTGTGCACCCTTGGAGGACAGAAAAGCACACTGGATCCCCTGGAACTACACACAATTGTAAGCTGCTATATGGGTGCTGGGAACTGAATTGGGGTTCTCTGAAAGAACAGCAAGTGTTCTTAACCACTGGGCCTTCTCTTTAGTTCCTAAAGTTGTTTTCATAGTAGTACTTGAATGATATTTATGATGTTAAGTTTGACTGACAATTTGAAGTGACACATCTCTAGGCATGCCTGTGAGGGGAGTTTTTAACATTAGGCTAATTGAGGTGGGGAGAGCGGTCCTAAATGTGGTGTCACCACTACACGGGCTGAATACAAGGAAGAAAGGAGTTGAGCAGCAGCATTTATCTCTGCTTCCCGACCAGGGAGTCAGTAACAGCTGCCTCTAGTTTCTGCCCCCGTGATGGATGGAGCCGGAACAGACTTCTCCTTCCTGAAGCTGGTCTGTCAGTAGTATTCCCTGGATATATTTGGCTTCTGACCCTACCCCACTCGGGACATTTTTATTACAAAAGAACTTCAAATATGAAACCTTAGTTTTATGACTAAAGAAAGAAAAATAATATACATATTTAAAAATGGGTGTTGGTGATGGTATACTCTACACCTTCAAAAAAGATACTGAAGACACCATGGGCTAGGTACAGGGTCTCCAGTATTGAGAGGTTCAAGGAGGATCAATAAGTTCAAAGTCAACCTCTGCCTCCCTGTCCCCCCAAAGGGAATCATGGAACGATAGGAAACGGTGCAACTCTGGAGGACTAGTTCACATCACCTCCTGGACTGGACATTTCCTGCGTACCCTTCCTTCCTCTCTGTGCTCCAGGAAGCTAACCTGATGGGCCACATCAGGGCACTCCCTGGTCTTCTGGAGGTCAAAACGTGTCATCACCAGGCTGCTGAGGGTATGAAGAAGCTGGATGTGTGCTTCTAGTAGCTTGCTTTCAGGTGAGTTGCCTAGGATTGCAAAATTCTAAATCTTCTCAGGTTCCCTTTTCACACAGCTACTTTTTTTGGCTCTGGTGTTTCATGTCCTTGTCCCTTTAGGCCACGACACGGAAATGCTGCCCCACTGCTACTCAGCATGAGGCTCTGCACCCATCATTGCTTGGTTCTTATAAAACCCTTTTATGTCTTTGTAGACTCTCTACAACCTAGTTTGGATATGTTTATCTGCTTGGTATGTTCTAGGAATTCATCTTATATATTTAACAACATATATATTGGATGATTTGTCAAACACTATAATCTGTAACAGTGGAATGTTAAAAATAAAACATCAACAGAAGACTGTAAAGTAATGGTCCAACTATATAGTAGAATATTAGAAAACTGTAAAAACTGAGAAGATGGCATTTTCCCTCCAACTATGCAGACCTGAGTTCATTAGATATAGTATAGCATGTCTGTATTCCAAACAAAGACAAGGAAAAATTAGAATTTCTGAAGTCATAGAAAATAATGGAAAAACCAGAAAATGTTACAAGTGATAAAATGTTCCAAATTTTTGGACAGCTTTCTCTCTTAGCATGATCCATGTGCAGAATTTTCCTTTGACTATTTCTGATAAAGGTTCATTTAACACATGGTTCATTTATTATTTAGGGGAGATTCAGTTCTATAGCCCCCTTTTAACCAAACTGACTGTTAACAGAGTTGTGCTCAGTGATCTTGGATTCCATGAAAGGTGTGACTTATTGAAGGAAAAGGGACACCAGGGTATCAGGCAATCAGTGAGGAATGCAAGAGAAACTGCAGGAGCGTGCTCATCCGTGTTAAGATAGCTAGCTAACCAGACATATTTCTTTCATGTCAGTCAAAAGTGGAAAAACTACAGTTTTAGTATTCTGCATGGGCAGTTAAAGTCCTTAACCGTCAGGAGATGCACTCACCCTTCCTGGAGCTGCACCTGGGCGGACTCTTCTGTGACAAGAGCCTCATACTCCTCAGCTGCAAATCTGTCCCAGTCGGAGGGCTCAGGGCCATCATTTTCAACATCCTGATTAAAAGGAGGAAATTAGAATAAAGACAAAAATTGGACATAGAGCATCATAAATGTGTATTGCTGAAAAACCCATCTGAAAGTGTTCCAAAATATTAAAAGAGGGGCTAAGTTAACACTCCCACAGTGATCTGCACCTGAAATTACAAAATTATGTGTACTAAGAAGCTTACATTATTTTGGTCATGATTCTCTCTCTTAAAAAAAATAACTGTTTTGCCTGCATGTACATATGTGCACCATGTGTATGCAGTGTCTGTAAAGGTCAGAAAGGGGTACTGGATCCTCTGAAGCTGAAGTTAAGACAGTTGTGAGTTGCCACGGGGTCCTCTGCAAGAGCAGCAGGTTAACTCTAAGCCATCTCCTCAACTTCATGATTCCTAAAAAAAAATTCCATCTGTCGTTATTGTGTGTGTGTGTCATGGTGCATGTGTGGAGGTCAGAGAACCTTTATGGAGTTTATTGTCTCCTTCCTCTCAGGGTTTACTGATGGTCTAACAGATGTTTGCTCATGGCAAAGGAACTTGTCTCTATTCTCATGCAGAACAAGATTTAAAATGGATAGCTTCACACAGGAATCATTAGTTCTGGTGTCATTTAGAAGGGTAAAGCTATTTACCACACAATCGTCAAAGTGCACAGCACAATTAAATCAAGGTCAGTATAGCTTGTTCATGTGTTACTGATGTAATTTTTCAAAACTACTATTTGGGACATCTTTCTAATGTGAACTCTATTCCATGCAGCAATATAATCTAACAGATAGCAAGGACTTAGAGCTAGAAATTACCTGACGTGCCTATTGGTTGTGGGTGAGATGTGCTCGTAGTATTTATTTGTGAATTTACTTTGAGACAAGGTCTCTCTGTGTAGCTCTGGCCATCCTGAAACTTGCTAGGTAGATCATGCTGGGCTTGAACTCACAGATGCCCATCTGTCTCCCAGCTCTTAGATCTTTATATTAATTCTCATTCTTTTGTTTATATTCTTTCTCTCTCTCCATCCCCTTTCCCCTCCCCCTTCTTCTGTTTCACAGAATTTATTATCTCTTTGAGGAAACATTTTAGATGTTATCGTTTTAAATACAGAGATCCCTACATGCACAGAGCATTTAATACACAGCATACAGCCTTTGGTATTCAAGCTCTGAAAGTTCAATTTCAGTGTATACCATTACCTTCTGGACTGCAAAAGGATCTCTTTGTTCATGGTCCAAGTATTTCTCCAGGTTAAAGAAAGTGTCATAGAAGATGTGAGCCATTCTGCACCTCTTCAGGTCTCGTAGAGTTATTTTGCCTTTGGAAAAACAATATGCCTTGTAAATTTTACTGACAGCTGTTTTGACAAACAAAAAAACCATACAAACCTCACTGATGTTGAAAAGTACATGGGTATGTTCATTTATTATAAAACACATTAAAAAAATCAAGGCGAGTCATTTTTAACTTGTACACACCAGTGACTTTTCAGCACACTCATGGTGCTGTGCAACCGTCAACACTGTGACATGATGCCTCTTCTCCCCAGTCTCCTCACATCCATACTCCAGTCACAGCGCTTTCCCTCTGTATGGAAAATACTATTTTTCTTTTCTTTTTTCTTTTCTTTTCTTTTCTTTTCTTTCCTTACTTCCTTCTCCTCCCAACCCCCTCCTCCATTTTTTTTTTGAGGGTTTCACTATCTAGCCTTGGCTGTCCTGAACCTCAACTCTGTAGATCAGGTTGTCCTCGAATTCAGTGATCAGCCTGCCTCTGCCTCCTGAGTACTGAGATTAAAGGCTTGCGCCACCACTGCCTGTATTAGAAAGTTCTAATTCTTAAATACTGGATTTGATACTTAAAGTCAAGGAGAGAGAAAGTTTAAATTCTTTACTTGGGAAGCCTGTAAGGGCAACTCTGGAAAGCTAAATACATCAGGATAATACAGAACTCTGTGTTCCATTTTGTTAAAGGATGAACAGGGCAAAGTGTTGTTCGTTCAATCTTACCATCACTAGCTGGCTTCACCAAGTCAAGCATCTGGCACAACAGATCATGGAATGGCAAAGGCTCAATGCCCATGGCTTCCATTCGTTCACACTGCTCTTCGTAGAAGTACTCCAGCTCATACATGGAAAGTATACCGTCTCCATCCACATCCATGCAGCGGAACCAATACTCAATGCTAGAAGGTAAAAGAAGAAAATTAACATGGACCTGATAAAGGTTCTTTATTTATTCAAGTACTACTGCATGTTTTAAAAGTAAATTTACATGTTTGTTACAAATATACCTTGATGTGGGATTCCCCTCTGTATGCTATGAATATGTTTTATTACCATTGATTATCAAAGAAGCTGTTTCGGCCAATGGCTTAGTAGAGTAAAGCCAGGTGGCAAATCTAAATAGAGATATAGAAAGTAGGTGGAGTCAGGGAGATGCCATGTAGCTGTCGAAGGAGAAAGATGCCAAGCCACCAGCCAGAACCAAGCCACAGCCTTGTGGTGATTTATAGATTAATAGAAATGGGCTAATTTAAGATGTAAGAGTTAGCTAGAAATATGCATAAACTATTGGCCAAACAGTTGTTATTAATATAGTTTCTGTGTGATTATTCGTGTCCACATGGCTGGGAAATGAATGCGCAGTCTCTGTCTACAATACCTAGTTATAAAGGTTTGTTAGAAGAAACAATGGAGGGGTGTAGAGATGGCTCAGCTACTGAAGGGTAGAGCTCACAATCAGAAATATAAGGAAAAAAAAAGGAAGGTCTCTTCTTCCTTCTATTTTTATATTTTTGGTTGTGAGCCTAGCCTTTAACAGCTGAGCTACCTCTCCAGCCTCTTCCTTCTATTTTTAAATTCCAGAGTTGGTCATTTCCAAAGGCCAATCATTTTGCTTTTTATCTTGTATTTTCAGAGCACTAGCCCACATTCCTCTCCATTTTTCTGTATCAGAACTGTGTATTGATTTTATACAAGAAATGAGATTTTGGCCTGTATCACTTCCATTCACTTAATGCAGTGAGCTGTTTATTATTCAGAGTTCAAAACAGTACATTCCTTCTAACTTGTTATGGTATCAAATCTCTACCCGGTGTTTAGATCCACATTCAGTCACATCAGTTATTCTAACAACTGAATTTTCTTTAAGTAGTTTCTTCTGACTGATTCTCCTATAGTCTGTTTGGTCTCTATGCCTGGTTCACAATTTCATCTTGAAGTTCCTTTCACTGCTGTGTCTCTTGGACCTCACATTTCCCCATCCTTTGACATGGCACCTTATCTAGAAATATCCTACAAAGGAGTCATGCAGGCAAGTTCTTCTGTGTATCTGTGTGTGTGTATGTGGAGGCTAGGGTCAGCACTGGGATCTTCCTCACCTGCTTCTCAACAGGGCCTCTCACTAGCCAAATGGGCTATGATAGCTGTCTAGTGAGCCCAGGGGTCTGTTTACCTGTCTCCATCTCCTCAGCACTGGGACCACAAATGTGTGCCATGCCTGCCTTTTATTTTAAAACAAACAAACAGAACATGAATTCTGAAGATCAAATGAAGATCTAACCTTACCCCTAACCCTCTAACTCTAATCCTAACCTTAGTCTCACCCCTAAAGGTTAGTTCATTATGGCATGGCAAGCAATTTACCAAGTGAACCATCTCTCCAGCCCATAATGTTTTTTGATCTTGCACTTATTTTTTCCTTTAAAATTACTTATTAAAAGGTGGCCTTTAACTCCTAGGCTCACATGATTCTGCTGTTGCTTGAATAACTGGACAGCAAGGACATGGCTCTCCTGACTCAGATCTTGGATATGGAAAAGGTTCCTTTTTCTAACCTCTACTTTGGTATTTTGGCTAATTCTAGAATTAAAGATTATTAGTGCTTTTCCTTCAGATTTTTTTTTACCTTTGTTTTTACCTTATTTTGAGGGTGTCTCACATTGTATAGTCCTGGTTAATATGGAATCATGCAGATCAGACAGACCTGGAAATCAGAGAGATCAGCCTACCTCCCAAGAGCTGGGACTAAAGGTGTGCTCACCACACCCTGCCTTCTTGCAGTTTTTTTTTTTTAAACAGGGTTTTTCTGTGTAACAGCTCTAGTTGTTCTAGGACTTGCTTTGTAGACCAGGCTGGCCTTCAACTCATGAGAACCACCTGCCTTTGCCACCCAAATGCTGGGATTAAAGGTGTGAACCACCACTGCCCGGCATTCTTCAGATTTGTAAAGGCACAATTTATAGTCTTAGCTGGGCATGGTGATTTCACAAAAAGAGCTAGGAAGTGTATTTTCTTTTTCCACTTTATGGAATAATTTGAGGATGAGTATTAGTTCTTTAAAGGTCTGGTAGAATTCTGCAGCAGCAAATCCATCTATACCTGAGCTACTTGATTTTTAGATAATTATTTTTAGGTGTGTATTTTCAAAAACTAAGTGCTCAGTTTTATGTGTGTCTGTGTAGGCGTATGTGCATGCAAGTGCAGGAGTCCACGGAGATGAGAAGCATTGTTCCCTGGAGCTGGAGGAACAGGTGGTGTGAACCACCTGACATGGTGCTGGGAGCTGAACTCTGGTCCTCTGCAGTATGTGTTCTTAACCTCTGAGCCATCTCTCCTGCCCCAGGACTGGACTACTTTTTGTTGAGGGTTTTATTATCATTTTTAATTGATCTGATTGTTTATCATAGATGTTTTTACATTATAGTATCTTGGCTTTACATAGGTAGTTTACATATATATATACACATATATAATCTATACACTTAAATTTTAGACTTTTCTATTTAATGGAGTAAAAAATTGTTAAGTTTTTTAAGTTATGCCATTATAATTTTCTAAACTTCAGTGGTATCTATTGTAATGTGTTTCTTTTAATTTCTAATTTTGCTTTGGTTTTCTCAATCAATATTAATTTTATTTTCAAAGAGACAATTCTTTCATCCATCTTTTGTATTTTTCATCTGTCATTAATTTTGCCCTGCTCTTGATGGTTTATTTCCATCTACTGCTTTTGCCTTTCCAAGGTCTTAAGATCTAATTTTTTTTTTTAAGGCCCGTGGAACCATAAACGTCCCTTAGGGATGACCTTTTACATTCAATAGGTTTCTGTATGTTGTATTTTCATTTTTATCCAATTCTAGGAGGTTTTTGTCTTCTTTGTTTCTTTAGTGACGCACTCATCATCCAGTATTGTTTAATCTCCACAAATTCAAGAGTTTTTTTTTTTTTATAAAGTTTCTCTTGGTATTAATTACTAGCTATATTTTATGTGGTCAGATAGAATACAAAAAGTTAATTGAATTTTCCAATATTTATGCAGACTTGCTTTATGTAGTAATATATAATCTATTTTAGACAAAATACTATAAGCTGTTGAGAAGAATGTATATTCTATAATGCATGGATAAAATGTTTTGAAATGTTTAAGAATAATTATTTATGATGTCATTTAACTCCATCTAGTAGTATTTGTTCTATCTATGTATGAATTTAAAATAGTTATTATTTACATGCATGTGTGTGTAGATAATGGCAGAGGTAGAAGCAGAAGTGGGTCTCCTCTGGAGTTATAGGCAGTTGTGAACCACCTGACTTAAGTGTTGGATTGAACTCAGGCCTCTAGAAGAGAAAGAGGTGCTCTTAAACCACAAAGTCATCTCTCTAGCCCCTGTTATCTTAAAAAGATTTTATTTTTACTTTATGTGTATGAGCGTTTTGCCTGCACACATGTGTGTGCAGCAGTGTGTGTTTGGTGCCCTCTGGAACTGTAATTAAGAATGATTCTGGGCACCTGGGAGCACCAAATCTCTTGCCAACCCTAAGATGGCTCCCTTAATTAAGATGTGTGCTTCCCTGCTCCCCTATCCAACCTTTCTTTATCCCAAACATCCCGTTTCCCAAGTTCCCTCCAACCTCCCCTTCTCACTTTTCTCTCCCCATCTCCCTTTACCTCCCTCCCACCCCACCCCCAAGATCCCATTTTTTGCCCGGCAATCTTGTCTACTTCCCATAATCAGGAGGATAGCTATATGTTTTTCTTTGGGATCTGTTGAAATAGGAGCGGCAGGGGCTGCGTCCCCGGCACCCAGCCGCCCGCATGGCTACTTATGCCCAGAAATAATTACACGGAAACTGTATTCTTTCAAACACTGCCTGGCCCGGCTAGTTCCAGTTTCTTATTGGCTAGCTCTTACATATTGTTCTAACCCATTTCTAATATTCTGTGTAGCCCACGAGCTGGCTTACCAGGGAGGATCTTAACCTGCGTCTGTCTGGAGCGGGAGAATCATGGCGACTCCTTCACTAAGCTTCTTTCTCCCAGAATTCTCCTCTGTCTACTCCGCCTACCTAATTTTCTGTCCTATGAGGGCTGAGGCAGTTTCTTTATTATTAACCAATGAAATCAACAGATAAGATACTAGACCCACCTCCATCATTTCCCCTTTTTCTGTTTAAACAAAAAAGAAAGGCTTTAACTGTCCCCAGTTAGTTCCTGGGGCAGCTGAGGACAGAGAACCTGAAATGACCCTATCCTATAGCCATACTGATGAATATCTTGCATATCACCATAGAACCTTCATCTGGAGATGGATGGAGATAGAGACAGAGACCCACACTGGAGCACTGGACTGAGCTCCCAATGTCCCAAGGAGGAGCAGAAGGAGGGAAAATATGAGCAAAGAAGTCAGGACCACGAGGGGTGCACCCACCCACGGAGACAGTGGGACTGATCTATTGTGAGCTCACCAAGGCCAGCTGGACTGTGACTGAAAAAGCATGGGATAAAACCGGACTCTCTGAATATGGCGGACAATGAGGGCTGCTGAGAAGCCAAGGACAATGCCACTGGGTTTTGATCCTACTTCATGTTCTGGCTTTGTGGGAGCCTAGCCAGTTTGGATGTCCACCTTCCTAGACCAGGATGGAGCGGGGAGGACTTTGGACTTTCCACAGGGCAGGGAACCCTGACTGCCCCTCAGACTGGAGAGGGAGGGGGAGGGGGGGGGGGGGAGGGGGAGAGGAGAGGAAGGAGGGGGGAAAAGGGAGACGGGGAGGGAAATGGGAGGCGGGGAGGAGGCGGAAAATTTTTTTTTCTTTCAATAAAAAATTATATTTAAAAAAAAATAAGAATGATTCTGAACCACCACAAGGGTGCTGGGGCTGAATGTGAGATTCTCGGCATTTTTATATGCTGAGCTACGGCTAGGCCTGGTCAATTTACTAGGTAGACACCATGCTCTTTCTAAGCTTTGTGCATGTGTTTACACAACAACTTACCTGGTAGGGTTCCGTTTGTCTTCCTCAGAAATCAAAAACCAAACAAAATCTGCATAGCTCATTCTTCCCTCTTTTTGTACTGTCTTTCCTCTGAAAAAAAAAAAACATGGTTATGAAATTTCCTGAGCAATTAAGAAATAAAATAACACCACTGTTTAGAAATGTAGTAAATTAAACAAAAACTCATAAAGCTGGACAGTTCGGAAAGTGCAACCCCTTTGAGGCCTGTCTTATTTCTAAGGCCTACAAGGTGCAACTAGAAGGTATTTGCCTAAATGGAAAAAAATTATACTGCTTTTGTGGTGTTAGAGTTTGAACTTAAAGCCTAATACAAGGCAAGCAAGTACTCTACCTCCGAGTTACATCCTTATCCTTCTTTTTACTTTTAATTTGTTATTTAATTAACTAATTAAATAATTTTTATGAGACAGGGTCTCAGTATGTAGCCTTTAGTGGCTGGAACTCAATACAGGCCAGAATGGTTGTGAACCGACAGAGATCCATTTGCTTATGTCTCCAAAGTGTTGAGATTAAAGGCATCTGCCACCATGTCCAGCTTACTGTTATTGAAAGGTCTTATTAAATTGCCTAGGCAGACTTTGAACTGACTGTGTGCTCCAAGGCTTCAGTTTGTGAACTTCCTGCCTCAGCCTACTAAGTACCTGGGGATTATAGGCCCATGCCAGTAGGTCTAGCCCAGGTTTCTAATTTGATAATCAATGGAATCAGATATAATATTAAGGAATTAATATTTTTTAATTAGGCAATGATTTTATGCTTTTTAGATATAATTAGATTAATAGCCCCGCTAAATTATGCAGAAAGCTTTGCTAAAATGAGAGACTGCTGCAATGGTGTATTTCATTTTGAAACTCAAATTGTTTTACTTCACTTTCTATTACTTATTGTTAGCCCACTAAATAAAATTCAAATTTAAAAATGTTTCATACCTTGTTACTGCTCCCGAAAATATTCTTTCAATAATTCTACTTGATGAAGCTAAATGTAAATAAAAATTAGTTAGCTAGAAATATTCCTGACAAATTTGTTTTTATTTGCTAAAGCTAACCCTGAGCCATTTAACAATCTTCCACAGTGAGAATATCAACAGTTAACTTCTTTTCTTTTTTGGGACAGGATTTTATATATCCCAGGGTGAACACTATTTTGCTACATAACTGAGGATGACCTTGAACTTTTGATCTTCCTGCTTCTACCACTGAGAGCTGGGAGTATAGGTGTGCACCACTGTACACAGTTTACATGGTATTGGAAATCAAACCCAGGCCTGTATATGCTAGCCAAGCACTCTGTCAACTCAGTGACATCCCAACCCCTAAATTCTATAAAAAAAAATTTATTCATTGAAAATTTCATATAATTATACAGTGTATTTCGAGCCTATCCATTCACCATAAGTTACCTCTCTATAATGCCAGTGTCTCTTAGTCTGTCTCTCTCCCTATTCCATGGCCTTCATTTTTAGGTCATTAAACCCATGAGTCCGTATCTTCTCATATGCACGTGTGTGTATGGGCAAAATACCCAAAGGAGAGTAAGTCTTCCTCCCTCAGTACTGATCAACAATCAAAATCTCCTCTGTCAAGGGTGGAACCTTGAAGGCCCCACCCCCATTTGTGCAGGAATAAATTCTTACTTATGCATAATTTATACTTTTTAGAAAAATAAGGTAGGTTTGAATTATCAGTCACTAATTAAAAAAAAAAGATCAGGCAAGTGAATGTACCTGACATCTATTTAGTTATTTATCTAGCTGCGTTCTAAGTTAATTCTGAATATCCTTTTTTTTTTTTTTTTTTTTTTTTTCGAGGAAGGGTTTCTCTGTGGTTTTGGAGCCTGTCCTGGAACTAGCTCTTGTAGACCAGGCTGGTCTCGAACTCACAGAGATCCGCCTGCCTCTGCCTCCTGAGTGCTGCCTCTGCCTCCCGAGTAATTCTGAACATCCTGACAGCTAAGACAAAAATACACAGAATTTGTATTGATCTTGGTATCCAATAAAGCAAAACTAATTTTCTAAAACAAGACAAATTTTATCCTAGCATTCAGTTCAAGGGAAACGGATTGTGCAGCTCCTGAACCAATGTAAGATGATGGCGAGTACTCCAGAGCAGCTTTAAACATGCTTTTCTTACATTCCCACTCTACAGAGGCTCAGATACAATATTTAAAAGAAATACCGTCAATAGGCTTTATTTACAGAGACAGTTAATGGCCTTTTGCTGTTGTTATTGGTTCTACCGGGGCACTGAACCCAGGGCTTTGCACATGCTAGTCAAGCAACCTTCCACTGAGCTACCTTCTCTGTAACAATTGTATCTTCAGACAGTATGTTTTATCTTTGATGACAGACCTTAGAAAATGTATTAGCACTATCCCTTTCTATATTCAAAATAGCCAAAAGGGGGGGGGGAAGAGGAGTGGAGAAGAAGGAAGGGGAGAGGAGAGAAGAGGCAAGGTAAGGCCAGAGATCTCTAGACCTGTTCTTTTAACAAGTACCCCAGGCAATGGAATGCACTCTAAAATTTAAGGACTACCAGGGATTTCAATAGAGGGTTAGCACCTCCCAGCGTCTATTCTTTTTAGAGTAAGGTATAGTCAACATAAAGATGAGTCAATTTGGCTAGGAAAATTAGAAATATGTGTGTCAGGATAAGCCATGCCTGGCAATATACAGAAGCCTCTACAGTTGAACTTTGACTAATGAATAAATATTTTATACTAGAGACAAATAAGAAGGCTATATAGAAACTGCAAAAATATTAAATTCTAACACTAACATCTTTAAAGCCAATTTATTTTTACTTTCTATGTATGAGTGTTTTGTCTGCATGTATGTATATGTATGTACATGCATCACATGAGTGCCTGGTGCCCATGGAGACCAAATCCCCTGGCACTGGAGTTACAGACATTTGTGAGCTGCGATGTAGGTGGTGGGGATGGAGCTCAAGGCTCTCTGCAAGAGTAGTAAAGTGCTCTTAATTGCTGAGCCAACACTCCTGCTCCCTACCGCCTTTTAAAAAAGATTGTTTTAGCTTTGGAAAGTTTATTATTCTAAAACTAAAGACCATGTTCTAGAGCAGAATTTGGTGAGTGGACAAAAATGTGGTGTTTTAATGTCCCCTTCACCATATCATTAACATCAATCCAGTGAGTTTATACAGTATCTGGAAACAATGGCATTAAGTCCAGGAGAGGGCTTCAGAGTCCATGGGTTGTGTGACCTCTGCAGGCTGGCTCACAAACATGGTTAACAGGAAGGTGCATAGCTAAGGCTGACCTGAGACTCGTCATCATAATGATACAAATTAGTACAAAGACTTCCCACCTTTAAAACTGTAGTCTTAAAACTCTGGCCTCTTAAAGTTGAAAACTGACTTTTGGCTAGGGTTGGTGGTGCACACCTTTAACCCCAGCACCGGAGGGGCACAGGTAGGCTGCTCTCTGTTAGTTCAAGGCCAGCCTGGTCTACAGAGTGAACAAATAAAAAATTTTATCTTTGTCCATTCTCATTTAAAAACTATGGGTCCTATACAGAGACTTACTAAGAGAATTTAAGAAAGGGAATTTCTCATAATGAGGGGAGACAATTTATACAACTTTGACAAAAGGGTTAGTTTTAGCATCTTTAGAATCAGTCACTCACCCTGGTCATTGTATCGAGATAGATCAGCCTGGCTGATGTACAGGTCATGATCACCATCTAGTTCCCAGAATTTACAATAAATGACATAGAAATGTTCATAAGAGAAGTAATCTGTGATTTGGTTTATATCTTCTTCTTCCTCCAAAAGGGCCAGGGTCTGAAATGGTATGAATAAAACAAATTTTAAATGATGCACAACTACCTGTGGCTATTTTAGAGTCTAGAAAACATCTGTTCATTAATTAGAATTTTGCTTTTGGTACCAAACCAGGATCATTTTGTATGTGTTTTCTTTCTTTCTTTCCTTCTTCCTCCCTCCCTCCTTCCTTCCTTCTTTCCTTTTTAAAAAATCATTTTCATTTGAATTGTTTGGACAGGAATGTGCTATATATTTTCCCCCATTCCCCTTCACCCTCCTCCCTCGCCTTCTACCCTCCATGCTCCAAATTTACTCATGAGATCTTGTCTTTCTTCCCCTTTCTAGGTGGATCAATATATGTCTCTTAGGGTCCTCTTTGTTACCTAGGTTCTCTGGGGTTGTGGCCTGCAGGCTGGCTGACCTTTGCTTAATGTCTATTATCCACTTATGAGTGAGTACATATTATATTTGTCTTTCTGGGTCTGGGTTACCTCACTCAGGATGGTTTTTCCTACTTCCATCCATTTGCATGCAAATTTCAAGATGCCATTGTTTTTGATCACTGTGTAGTACTCCATTGTGTAAATGTATCACATTTTCCATTCTTCGGTTGTGGGGCATCTAGGTTGTTTTCAGGTTCTGACTATTACGACTAATGCTGCTATGAACATAGTTGAGCAAATGTCCTTGTGGTGTGAGTGAGCATCCTTTGGTTATATGCCCAAGAGTGGTATTGCTGGTCTTGAGGTAGACTGAATCCTAATTTTCTGGGCAACTGTTATACTGATTTCCGAAGCAGCTGTACAAGATTGCACTCCCACCAGCAATGGAGGAGTGTTCCTTTTGTTCCACATCTTCTCCAGCATAAGCTATCATCAGAATTTTTGATCTTGGCCATTCTGACAGGTGT